ACTAGTACGATCTGACCAATATTTTTCAATTTGGTTTTCACAAGTTCCAAGGTTCGAAGGTTTTTTTCATTTTCTGGGTTTAGTTTAGCATGTGTCCACTTTAAACGTGTGATATACTTTTTGTGCCCCCTGTTCAGCTCCATCTTCTCTCTTGTATACTCCGTATACTCCATACATACTGGACACACTGGACACTATTTGACCTTGAAAACGCCCCGTTAATTATTATTATAATTTTGGGTTTAATTATTTTAATTATTTTAATAATTTTGGGTTTATTTGGGTTTATTTTTGATTACATTTTGATTACTTTTTTAAGACCACTCCTTTCGCCTTGTTTTTTTCCCTTCTTCCCCCCCACCTCTTTGTTTCCTTTGAGTCGATGTGGAAACGTTCACCTAGATCGGAGGACAACTCTGGGAACGACTCAACTCAACACAATCTATCTGAGCTGGGTCTCCTAGGTCGGTCCAAAAAGTCCAAAAGTAAGTGTATCGCGGTGTCTCTCTCTCTATCAACATCGGCATTTCCAGTCTTGGACCAAATGTCCTAGATCTGAGACCTATTGTGGCCTGTTCTAGATGCCTCATGGGGCAGGTCCGAATAAAACCACCCTCCCCTGAGTGTTGTTTGGAGCTTTTTTTTTTTTTTTTTCTCTTCTCTTATATCCACATCTTCAATCCTTCAGTTCCTTCAGTCCCTGCAAAATACGCCCAATCTGTCATTAGTCTTGAAGACCCCCACCTTGCTAACCAGATACCTGCGACGCGCAGAATTTCAATCGCAGCCAGAATCATCCTCGCGTTCACCTCTTCGTTCATTTCGTTCATTCACTCGAGGCGTGCTAGACCGGCCTAGCAGCAGTCTTTCCAACCAGACCGATCTCACCCGGTCAAGAGCACCGACTTTCACATCAATTAATTCTGCTTATCCAGATCGTGTTGGTCAATCTGCGCATTCAAATCGCTCACGAACATCCTTTCATTCAAGATCGGGACGGACAACAGGGCCAATGGAGGTAGATCGCACCCACACACGGAGGGAGAGGACTTTTGTCGGAAGTGAATGCGCCGTCTGCGAGGAACCCCTGGAGCATACCCTACGGGGCGAGCGTGTTCTACAGCTCTCGTGCTCCCATGTCTCCCACGAGGCCTGCTTTTATGAATTTCTGCGGGAATGCGATGGACAATATTGCCCAAGCTGCAATGCGCCATTGGCTTTGGATACAAGTCGCGGTGGAAATGTCTTGGATATCGGTATGTTCCTCGTGCGGGGTTCAGAGGGGCCCGGAATGCTAATGTCATGTTTACCCAGAGAAAATCAGTAATATCGTTCGCTCAGTGACGTCGAATGATACCGCTACAGTACGCAGTGGCTTGACAACACCCACTCCATGGGAGCAGTCGAGTCGGCGAGCACCGAGTGAATCCGGCAGTCGCTACACCTCGGGTACCCGAGAACCACTAGCTTACTCTTCAACGAGGGAGCCATCCTACAACCCCTCAGCAAAAGAACCATCATACAACCCTTCGAGAGATCCATCCTATAATCGACGAGATAGCCGTGATACCAGCAGCCAGCGTGAGCGCGTAGAGCGATTGACCGTGGGATCTAATTCTCGTCAACCCCACTCCCGGAATGGCAGCGCGGCTGGATCCTCGGGTGATTACAATGAAGGCCAGCACACTAGCAGCGGACGGCGCCATGATTACGATGTTCAGGCCATGGAGTCAGACCTTGGCCCTCGCCCTAAGGTCGCCAAGAATCCCATTCCCGCGCCGATGGTCACCGTTCGAAGCGAGTTTCCGACTATGAACCGATCCCGCCAACAGCAGACCCTCACCTGCCTGATTACGGTCGAAGTGCCAGATGCAAATTGGCGCCCTGACCTAGATGACTTACGACACACACCTTCGGGACAGTCGCAGCCGGATGAGCCATACACAGGACGATTTGGTGGACAAGATGCGCGATCGATCCAGTATGAACCGACGGAGAATATGGAAGAAGTGGCTGAAGAATTGCGCAACCGGGTGGACAATTGGCACGGTCTTGAGTTCCAACGGTTTGGCAAGCTGCGCCTCCATGGACACATGCGCGTGGGCAAGGATCGGGATTCCTGGCAGGAGTTGGAATGCTATCTCTTTGGAGAGATGCTTATCTGTGTCAAGGAGAAGAAATCACATGACCCCCAATTCGATGCGAGCGGGCGACGCAAGCCTGCTCGTTGCAGCCTCAAGGGCTCAATTTTGATTAAGAAGCATTTGAAGTCCATTGAGGTCTCGCAAGATGAACCTATTCTCTCCTTGAACCTTTCTGTCGCCGATCTACCCTGTTTCTATCTTCGCTTCCAGAAACGCAACCAGCTTGAAACGTGGCGTCGGTCTTTGATCGATTTGCACCCAGAGGCCATTTCACGCCACAATGACTATGATTACGACAACTCGGGGGCGGAGGAAGATGACTACCGCGGTAGCCGTGGAATCCAACGACAGGCTTCTATCAATTCGTCTTATGGTGCCGGAAAATCCATCAATACCGCCATTACAGACTACACCAACCCCGACTACACCAACCAGGACGCAGAATTCCCTGCAATCAACACTGTTCATATTCCCCTCGATCTTGTCGTGGTCATTCCGGTATCCTCGTCTATGCAAGGCTTGAAAATTACTCTCCTGCGTGATGCCCTCAAATTCCTCGTGCAGAATCTGGGCCCTCGGGACCGGATGGGCCTGGTGACCTTTGGATCGAGTGGTGGAGGCGTGCCCTTGGTTGGTATGACCACCAAGTCCTGGGCTGGATGGCCCAAGATCCTTGAATCGATCCGGCCGGTTGGCCAAAAGAGTCTCCGTGCAGACGTGGTTGAAGGTGCCAATGTCGCCATGGATCTTCTGATGCAGCGCAAATTCAACAATCCCGTCTCGACCATTCTTTTGATCAGTGATTCTTCTATCTCCGACCCCGAAAGTGTTGATTTCGTGGTTTCCCGCGCCGAAGCCGCCAAGGTCAGCATCCACTCGTTTGGTCTTGGATTGACCCACAAGCCCGATACCATGATCGAGTTGTCTACCCGCACCAAGGGATCTTACTCGTACGTGAAGGATTGGATGATGTTGCGAGAATGTGTTGCTGGATGCCTGGGCGCGCTGCAGACAACCTCCCATCAAAACGTCAAGTTGAAGCTCCGCCTACCTGAAGGGTCACCCGCCAAGTTTGTCAAGATTAGCGGCGCTCTTCACACCACGAAACGTGCAACTGGCAAAGATGCCGAAGCCGCACTGGGTGATCTCCGATTCGGTGACAAGCGCGACGTCTTGGTTCAACTGGTCATCCAGCCTGACAATGCCACGCAGGATAACATGCCGCAAGATCCGTGGGAGAGCCTAGTTTCCGGACTGGAGGCTCTCGGCGGCGGTTCCGATGGTGACGAGACACGAGTGTTGAGCGTTGAAGAAGTCCCATTGATTCAGGCTGATCTCACCTACGGCGACCTGCTCCGCGATGGCCATCTTACCCACTCTCCCCGCCCCTCCCTCCTGGCCATTACCATGCTGCCCCCTAACCCTCGGGCTAAGGGCCATCGATCCTCGACCCCTCCAATTCCTCCCCACCCCTCGATTGTACAGCGTCGCATGGAACTACTCACTTCCGACATGTTGACCCGTGCTCTCACTCTGGTTTCTCGGGGCCAGCATGATCGCGCGATGCATCTCCTTAATGAAACCCGCAGCATCCTTAAGGGCCTTGGCAAAGGTGGCCTACCCCCTCTGCCCCCGGGTGCTTCCCGGTCCGACAGCGATGCCGATAGCCGTGATGACACCCCTGTCTCGGCCACTTCTCCTAAATCGTCTGGTTTCGGCGGAACCCATTCATCTGGATCAGACACCAACACCATTACACCATCTTCCGCGGTCGATGCTCAGACGATGATTGCCCTGAATGCAGATCTGGAATCCTCCCTAGAGTGGATCAACCACCCGGCAGTCTTCGGGCGTGATTCACGCAAGGCAGTGCTACAGAGCATTGGCGTGATCTCCTCACAGCGTGCCTACACCTTCCGCACTCCATCCGAGGCTCACTGGGCCCAGCGTGTCTCTGGTGTGCGTCGGTTGACGGAGCGATCCCAAGACTGGCGCGAGACTGGTGATGACGCTTTGACGGAGGAGTAGGGGGCCAACTCTCTCTACAACTCAGCACCTATTTTTTCTCCCCTAATTTTTGATTTTTGAAACGCCCCCAATTGTCTCATATTCCCGACTTTTACATACCGCTCGACGTATTATTTTCCCCCTTTGCTTTTTTCCCCTTTGCGATTTCTTTTGCCATCCCTATGATACCACTTTGTTCCCATGACTACGCAACATGATACCAGGGGCTTTCCAAGGTTGTTCTTGATGTGTTTCCGCTGTATTTGGACATAACATCTCTGTTTCTATGTAATTGCTCTGACGCTCTCGGCTATGGTGCGCGGGTGGGATGGGGTTCTATCGGTTTTCCTTTTTAACTTGTTTGGACATATGACGATTTACCCGACTTCATCTTCTTTTTCTATACATCTAGCCTTGCTAGTTTTTTTCTGAACCTATTAGTTGCCTATGATTAGTACATACCCACTTTATCGAAACTGTCCTTTGCTTCCAGCCAAACAAATATCCTGGGCGGATCGACTCACAGGCCAGCCTATGTACATATTGTGAGAATTTATGGTACACCCCAAGAGGAATAGTAGACTACATGTGTAGCCAACTATGTGACTTAACTTGAAGAAGAAACTAGGGTATCCTCACAGGCCATAAAGTGGGGATTTTGGAGGTCCGACATGACGTTGTTCCCAGGTCGGTCATGAAGAATGGGGAAAGTGGCTGCTTATCGCCGTGTGGCTCAGTTCGACCTTCAACCTGCAACTTCCCCGGAGAGGTCTGGTTTACTCAGACCATTGCAAGTTGAATTTTTTTCTTGACAACGTTTGCATAAGGGGCAAGATAGGGTTCTCAACCATGATCCGTCAAGCCATGGCGCGCGCTTTCCGTAGCGCATGCGCATACCCTTTCTTATCGCCAAAGCCCTCCACCCACCTCAAGGCCTCGCTAGCAGCTCAAACGTCACGCTCATACAATACTGCAGGGCCTCGAATCTTTACTCGTTGGGTTACCTCTATGCGCTCTCAGATCACACCCATACGACAACCCCGACCCCAATCACAACTCTCCTTTCGCACAATTTCCCCAAACAACCGGCGCACTTTCTTCTCAAGCCGCCAATCCCCCTACCAACAAAGGCAGAACCAATACAATCGATTCCGAGGCAGCGCTCGTCAACCTATCGTCTTCCGCTTAGTGCAGAATGCAAAACCGCACCACTTTGTTGCGATTGGCGTGGGGATATCCGGACTTTATCTATACAACACGGAGATAGTGGAGATGACCGGTCGACGACGGTTCAACTGTGTCTCTCGTCACCAAGAGCTCAATATGGGCGAAGAGAGTTACCGCGAGGTTCTGAGTGCCGAGCGTGGGAAGATCCTGCCCCATAACCATCCTCTTACTCGTATGGTTGATGGTGTGCTGCAGCAGTTGATCCCGCAGGTGGCCATCGAAGGCGCTGATTGGAAGGTTCATGTTATCAAGGATGATGGAATGGTTAACGCTTTTGTACTTCCTGGGTAAGTTTTTGCTGGGTCTGTGGTGTTGATGCTTGGGTTCTATAGTGGTGGACATGGCTAACATTGTTTTACTTCCCTTAGAGGAAAGGTATTCGTCTACACGGGTATCTTGCCCATTTGCAAAGATGAAGATGGCTTGGCTGCGGTGCTGGGACATGAGATTGCCCATGTTGTAGCTCATCATCCCGCAGAGCGTATGAGCAACAGTTTCATTACGCTGGGAGCTGTATTCGCCATCTCTTTCTTGTTCGATGTCTCCGGGCAGTTTTCTTCTTTCCTTTTGAATCTCATGTATAGTTTGCCGAACTCGCGGACGCAAGAGGTATGGTTTTTCTTTTCTCTTTTGGTTTTACTATATGATCACTTGATTAATTTCTATCTCCAGGCTGAAGCAGACAATATTGGATTAAGTATGAACTCTTGAAATTGAGGATCAACTTGCGATTATGTGGCTAACAATTGTTATCAGTGATGATGTCCAAAGCCTGCTTTAACCCCGAGGCAGCTGTCAAACTGTGAGTCAATATGATAGAATGGATAGCGTTTAGGCCTTTGCTAATAATTCATAGATGGGCTCGCATGCATGAACAGGAGAAACAGGCTCCCCCGCAGTTTATGTCCACTCACCCATCGGTAGGTTTGGAGAATACCTATCAAGGGATCGTAACTAACTCACCAGTAGAGTTACAACCGAATGGAAACCATTCAAGGATGGCATGACCCCCTCCCCTGCGTTGACTTATTTGTTACTAATTTGATCAAATAGGCTTGACAAGGCCGAAGCAATCTATGAGGAGAATGGATGCAGCTCCGTCAAAGGATACAGTAAGAGCTTCCTTTCTTTGTTCCATATACTAGATTGCTAACTTCTCCAGTGCCTGGTTTCCGAACTGCTTATAATTCGCAAGTCTCGTATTTGAGATGACCCACAGAGCATCCGAGTCGATAGTGTATTGATGGTAACTGTACAATAGCATTAGCAAAATATATCAATAAACATCCATGAAACATAAAAAAAAAAAAAAAAAAAAGCAAGTAACATAAATGAAACTAGAAGGATTAAAGATTGTATTGTCGGCGATCTATAGCAAACGCCAAGCATCTGGGCAACTGGTGGGCTCCCCCTCGTGCAAACCGAGCAAACCCACCACCGCAGCTCCAAAAATTGCCCGGCACAACAGCTCCATCCACTCCCTCACATTTAACCCATTTGATATCCAGTCGCATCTACTTCGGACGCGACCTAATATCATGTCGCTATCAATTCCCGGTCCCTCCCAGGCGGGCCTCTTCAAGCCCGGGTACCAGAGGTGAGTTCGAAAAGTCGGGAAGCCCGAAAACCCACCGCAATAGGGACCTCCTTATCTGGCGCCCCTCCAAAAAAGAAGCGAAGCAATTGACTGATCTGTGTTCCCTGCCTTATAGCCACGATGCCGAAGATGGAGCCGTTATCCGTAACATCGAAGCCTGCCAGGCTATCTCAGGAACCGTCCAGACTTCCCTGGGCCCCTATGGCCGCAACAAGATCGTCATCAACCACCTGCAAAAGATGATTCTCACCTCCGACGCGGCTACGATCCTTCGTGAGTTGGATGTTGTTCACCCCGCTGCTAAGCTGCTTGTGATGGCGAGTCAGCAACAGGATGCGGAGATGGGTGATGGTACCAACTTGGTTATTGTATTGGCCGGTGAATTGTTGAAGAAGGCAGAGGAGTTGATCCGTATGGGTCTCAAGACGAGTGATATTGTTTCCGGATACGAGAAGGCTCAGAACTTTGCCTTGTCCGTTCTAGAGGGTATGTTATTCCCCTTTATGATTGGTTTTATCGAAATACAAATGAGGGAATTGTTTCTGATTCCGTCCAGAGCTCGAGGTCGACAGACTCCAGGATATGCGATCGGCAACAGAATTGAGCAAGGCTCTCCGCACAGTGGTGGCCTCTAAGCAGTCCGGCACAGAGGATACTTTGGCCGCGTTGGTTGCGGAGGCGGTTCTGGCTGTGTTGCCCAAGAACCCCCTTAACTTTAACGTCGACAACGTGCGCGTCGTTAAGATCATGGGTGGTAGCTTGGAACAGTCTAAGGTGGTGAAGGGTATGGTCTTCCCCGGGAGCCCGATGGAACTATCAAGAAGGCCACCAAGGCCAAGGTCGGCGTTTTCAGCTGCCCCATCGATATCAGCCAGACCGAGACTAAGGGCACAGTTCTCCTGAAGAATGCCCAGGAGATGATGGACTTCACCACCGGTGAGGAGGATCGTCTGGAGATTGCCATTAAGGAGCTCTACGACTCCGGCCTCCGCGTGGTTGTTGCCGGCTCCACTGTCGGCGACTTGGCCATGCACTACCTCAACCGCTTCAACATCCTTGTTATTAAGATTCTGTCTAAGTTCGAGCTCCGTCGTTTGTGCCGCGTTGTCGGTGCCACACCTCTGGCTCGCCTGGGTGCCCCCATGCCCGATGAGATGGGCCAGATCGACATTGTCGAGACCACCGAGATTGGCGGTGACCGAGTGACCGTCTTCCGCCAGGAGGATGCCAACGCCATCACCCGTACAGCCACCATTGTCCTGCGTGGTGCCACCCAGAACCACCTTGAGGATGTCGAGCGTGCCATCGACGACGGCGTCAATGTCGTCAAGGCCATCACCAAGGACCCCCGTCTCGTGCCCGGTGCCGGTGCTACTGAGATCGAGCTTGTTGAGCGCATCTCTAACTTCGCCGACCGAACCCCCGGTCTGCCCCAGTACGCCATCCGCAAGTTCGCCGAGGCCTTCGAGGTCGTCCCCCGCACACTCGCCGAGTCTGCCGGTCTCGATGCCACCGAGGTTCTCTCGCGTCTGTACACTGCACACCACCGCACCACTGCTCCTGGTGAGTCATCTTCCGAGGAGGATGAGGAAGAAGGCAGCTCGTCTGAAGAGGAGGAACCATACTGGACTACAGGTGTGGACCTTGAGATTGGTGACTCCGACGGCACTCTGGACACTGTCGAGGAGGGTATTCTGGATCTTATGGCTACAAAGATGTCTGCGATCCGTCTGGCCAGTGAATCTGCCCGGACGGTGCTGAGTGTCGACCAGATCATTGTCTCCAGACAGGCAGGTGGCCCTAAGCCTCCGCAGGGTGGAGGTGATTGGGACCAGGACTAAATTTTTAAAAAAAGGAGCGATGAGGGTCTGGATGCTGTTTGATAATATGAGGCCTATAGATCTTCATACGATGATATGCTTTTTGAGAACTATACATTATAGACTGACTCTCACTTCCTTCTGCAATGAAAAGTAACCCAGAATAGCTGCTATACAATTACTCTACGAACCATTTCCGGCAATTCGACGGCAATAGTGCGGTGATTATCAGACAACCTCCGCGGTATTATCCAGCTCATATAAAAACCCCCATTTGCATCTTATAGAACTTACCAAGTTTCAACTCAACTGTGTCACTCACCATGAATGAAACAAGTGAACCAAATGGCATTGGCGCGCTTACTTTTACTCCTTTCTTTTCGGCCAACATTATACTTGCTGTCCTCTTCGCTATACTTCTATCTGTACATATGGCACTGACGGTTCGGTATTGGCGCTATTACGGTTACGCCTTCGGTATGCTTAGTGGCCTGCTCTTGGAGCTTCTGGGATGTATTGCCAAAGTCCAACTTTCACATAATCGAGCAGATAGAAGTTCATATATCATGTGAGAGGCTGCCAAATGCATCAGATATGCATCTGTTTCCAAGGTTGTTTCTTTTCACTCACATCCTTTTCGTCTGTTAGGTACATCATTGGCCTCACGCTTGGACCTACGTTTCTTTCGTCTTCCCTATATCTCAGCATCTCTACACTCCAGCGACAACATGAAGCATTCAAGTTGAAATCAACCAGCCCTCGTACTTTCTCTATCCTTTTTATTCTTGGAGATTTCATGTGTCTTTGCTTTATTGGGGTAGGCGGCTCTCTTGCCGCTATTTATGCATCGAACCCAATAGGCGTTGACCTGATGATTGCGGGATTAGCCAGCCAGGTGGTTTGGACGATGATATTTTGTATTCTTCTCGCAGTCATATATTTCAAAGCCAGGCATATGACTGTTGGAAATATGAATTACTTCATACTTGGTGAGTTTCTAATTTCTTGTTCTCTTGTTTACTTTTCTGCAGAATGTGAGCCGAAGTTAACAAAGTTGACTTTATATGACTCTAGGTACAACAGTAGCAGCCGCTTGCCTTTTTATTCGCTCATGTTGGCGGGTCGCTGAACTCAGTGGTGGCTTTAATGGTCCTCTGGCCTCAAAAGAAGGGGTTTTCGTTGCTCTAGATAGTGTTCCGATTATCCTCATGTCAGCTATGCTCACCATGCTTCACCCAGAACTTTGGTTTAGTGGTGATAGTGCTCAAGTGGTAAAAGCTGAGCATGACTTGCGTCCTTTCACGGAGGACCAGAAGTAAGTCTAGAGGTATTCATGTAAAAGTGAAAAATGTTGGCCTGTTATCTTATATCAAAGTGTAAACTGAGTCTCAGTTATATCAATGTATGGTGTTACTAATTGCACATCCGCGGTATGATATAATAAAGCTTCATTTCAACTTCTCAAGGAGAGAACTTATTTGATTGTCAAGCCGCGTAAGGATTTTGACAGTGTCACCGTGAGATGATGATGCTGCGATAGTATCTCGTAAGGTCTGGGCGGCCTTTACATACATTTTGATACGGCTTTTATCCGTACTGTTCTCGCAATATTCACTACCGGATCCCCCGCGAGACACATCGGAAGGCTCGCGAAGGACCAGCTTCTCAGCATGAAGACACACCCAAATGCACATACCGGCGCAAATGTTACGGAGTATTGATGGTGCAAGGTCAACCAAGGGCTTGACCTCGGCTGAATTGACCGCTGGACATTGCCCAATCCACTGGCACATCTCGACGACATCCTGCACGGCTTGTAGACACTCGTACTGAGCACGGAGCTTGATAATCTCCGCTTCGAGTGATGATTCATCCCGGAAGCCGTATTGGGTGATACAGCTCTCGATTTGCATGTAGCAATTAATCTCTAGAAGCCATAAAACCGCGCGCTGCAATAGTATATGTCGGTTACTTGGAGTCGATGAGATGCTCTGCACACCTCCCACACCCTGGCCGGTCACCTGCCTTTGTAAATGTGACGGGCAGTTGTGATTGCGCCAATGGTGAAGATATTCGTAGATTGAGCGCACTTCATTGGGTTTGACACCACCAGCTCTTGCTGTTGCATTGCAGAGAGATCCCACAATTTTGCGTGCAATAACAGCCAAAGCAAGGATGGAATCTAGGTAACTGCCGGTCTCATGTTGAAGGATCCTTTCGCAATTACAAATGTCGTTTTCTGGGATATAAGATGCGGTCTTGGTATCAAGGGAATGGAAAGCATCCAGCCCGTAGACGTGCCAAAAAAGAAGCTTTTGGCGCTCTTTCGCCTGTGCAAACTGCACTGACATATCTGCGTCCAGATCGTAGTGTTTAGAAAATTGCAAGGTCATCAGAACAAGAGAGTCATGCGTCATAAAGAGATCACCAAGGTGCGAACTAGGGATCAGATCATGTGTTTCGTCGTAATCATAATCATAATCGACCATAAGTGCCAAAGACTCGAGGTTATCAAGACGAACTGAGCCACGGCTTGATGCGGAGGCTTGTGCCTCCAGGAAGCTTTCTTTGAACTTGCGAGCAATATGGCCTTGTATCTCTGATTTGCCCGCAATGTCAATGAAGGGCAAACCACGACATGCAACGGAAAGTAAAACCGCCGAGCTACAACGGCGTGCATGGAAGTCTTCCCAGAATGCATCTTCAATCATGATAGGCATGCAGAGGGCTGCAAAGTCGAAATATGCGTGTAAAGCCGCGACGAACAATGTCGGATCAATGACCGAGCTCAGCCAGGGTTCCAACTCGGAAAGTGCGTGGGGATGGGAGGAATTAGATGGCTCAGTTTGGGTCCGGTCCGCAGTATTGGGCTCTACTGCGGGAGATGAAGGTTGTAATCCGCTGGGAATGGTTGAACGCGAGGTATTCTGCATCGGTGATGGAATGTCACCCAGGAAGATTTGGTCTAGGAACATCATGCTATCTGAGCAGAGTTCGAATGAGGTATCCACGAAAAGGCTTTCTGGGGTCTGATCGAATGTGAATGTGGAAGTTGTTGTGTTTTGCGATGGCATATGCGATAGAGCAGGCGAGTTCGTAGAAAAGGGAGGACTCAGATGAGATGAGACCGCACCCCGACCACTGAGTGACGAGTCACCACGAGACCGCTGAGAACGTTCTTGCTGTCTTTGGTGGATACGATGACCACCAAGGCCATCCACTGTGCATTCAACTTGACGCGAAACACATGAGGAACATGTTGCGTAACCATCGCGAGCTCGGGAGACACGATCGCACTTCATTTTTCGACCATGGCAAAAGTCGCATGATTCACGCTTCGCTCCTCGCTTGAGACGCATTATTACCTAGAAATCTAGTGACACCCAGGGAGGGGTATCATCGTAAAGTCATTGACGGAAGTTATTTTCCTCCGCGGATATTTCGTGGAAGTAGGAGCGGATATCCGGGATTTGCACGATAATCAGTTTATTCCGCGGCATATACTCTTGACAGCAGGAACGTTTATTGTTTTTGAAATAGACCTACAAGGCTGAAAGGAATACAGTCTGCGCTATTATGGAGGTTTGTACACTTTAGTAAATTGAATATAACGAAAGGAAACGATGTGATCGGAAGAAACATTGTGCCCATAAGTAAATCAACTAATTTGGGCTCGGCAAATGATCAACCAACTCTCTCAAGTGTTCGAAGAAGACCTTTGCATTCGACTTTTGTCGCCAGGTGGTCCTCCATTTCAAAAACGAACTCATCCAACGGCCGTTGCCCATAGACAAGTTGGTCAACACCCTCCCAAGCCTGGTAACCGCGTTCAAACAATCCTGATTGACTTGTCCCAGAAGTAGTATTGTATACTGCGCGAAAAATGACTTGATCACAATTGGAAATACCCGTCGGATAGAGACGGACTGATTGCAGCCCACTTCCTGTGCTTGCGGCATAATCCTGGGCCACTTGTAGGAAGTCGATAGAATTGCTTTTCCACTCCCGAATCACCAACCCTGGCTTTTCATCAACCGCAATGATCAGAAGATTGCCAGGTTGATCGGTGATTTCGTATCGGCCAGCAAACTGTTGGGCTGACTGTTCTCTTGCGGCAGTAGCGACGCCTGCCAAAACCGTATCTTTAATAACATCTGCTAATTTCAAACCCAGGTGACTGTCTTTGCCCACAGTTAGAACGGAGAAAGAAATACCGTAATCTGGTATAAGAACTATCAAGCTTTCGTATGATCCGATGCTGCCCCCTTTTGTGTAATAGTCAACCACATGGTCGCGGTCTGCCTGTCGATAGATCTCCCAGGGTTGGCCAACTGAGGAGTATAAAGACGATGTATGGGTAATCGGCTTTAGCCACCTGCGCGTAACCACTGGAGGAAGTTGCGTGCTTTGTAATATTGCTTTGCCAAACACAGCAAGATCCCGTGCACTGGAATATATTCCACCTGCACTATTCAAAATTCCTTTTTTAGCAAGTTGCTCCTATTCACTGGAGCAGGAGCAAGAGGTGCGAATACTCACGGCATATCATCCCCAAGTTCTAAATCCCACAGACCTTCTCCTATAGCGGGTATAGCACCGTTAAAAGTCCGACGGTTTGGAAGCATAGGTATGTTCTAGACCGAGTGGACGAAAGATTGAGGCCTCAAGAGCGTCAGAAACCGTCATGTTCGTGACATTAGCCGCGATATATCCGAGAATCCTGAAAGCGGCATTTGAATAGGCTGGTGTTTCCCAAACCGGGAAGATCGGAGGCTGTTTGTCAAGACCGTGGAGAAAATGTAGAAGTTTGTATTTGAGAATGAACATAAGGACCTGGCATATATGTAAGCTAAACTTACCATTCCTTGAGCACAACGGCTGGGACAAGCTCCCATCACAATGGGGAATATCTTCGTCTGAGAGCTTAGGCAGGCCCAGTTCTTGAAACGGAAGATTCAAACCAGCTAGGTCCGCATGATTATCTATAGGCTTGCGTTAACATGTGTTGATGGACAAAAATTTGGGTATCATTCGACACGTACAGTCACGTAGAATTCCTCCCATTTGACCGGCAAGAGCTCCAACGGTTATTTCATCCCATTTCACAGTTGGGTTGGCATTATAATCGTCATTAGCGGGTAGGCCATCTAGATATCTCCAGATGGGTTCATTCAAAAGGTTGTGGCCTCCTTGTAGAAGCAGCTGATACACGGTAAAAAGCTTTGAGATGCTACCAATCCTGAAGACAGTGTCCGGACCCACGTTACCTGTTCCGTTCGGCGATAGATCATTCCCTGTGTGATAGTAATCGAACAAAGGAGATTCTCCAAAGTCATGAATAGAAAATCCGCAGATGGCGACGGAATTTTCAGTCTCCTGCCCAAATGCTGCATTCAAAGCTGTTGTGATATCTTGGGCCATCTGGCCCAAAGAGGAAGACAGAGAAGGACTCTTTGAGATGTTCACAGGAGCAGTAAAGACTGGGCCGAGAAAACTGTCTCCACCAGAAGCCTCGGCCAATATTGCACCGCTCAATGAGGTCAAACCACTTGTAAGGATGGATGCAAATCGCATGTTCGCTGTGTGCTCAAGTCAATGCCCGAAGAGGAAATATGCAATTGACAAGTAAATCGAATTGCCCTCTGGAGCTGACTTGGAATTTATATCAGTGAGTCCCATTGTATTTCCTCAAGCGCGGTGATTACCTACGTTTCTACCGTTTAATCACCGCCGGCGGCGGATATTTCCGCTGGATTTCCACTGAGGTATCGGCTGAAATATGGGATATAAATCCTTGGGATGAGATACATAGCGGAGAGGAAGATAATATAAATTGGTGTCAGGGGCCTTCATACGTTTGGTATAAGGGAATGAATGTATATCTCTTAGAATTCCCTATATTTAGATACCATCCATGGATTGTATACTAAGACACGGGATGACCTAATCAAGTATAAGATGGATGTGTAATCTTGTTGGCCTGATAGATAGACAAAATGCCTGAGGCATTATATATCACGTGCCACTCCCAGATTTTCCTCGAGTGTTTCCTTTCGGTCTTGATATCAACGAGCCGCGATTCCAATCCCCACCACTTTTCTCCAATTCCCCTTTCTCTCGAGCTTCTCGCCCCTTTCTCACCTCCGCCATGTCCTTCTCCACCCAGGTCGCAGCCCGCTGCGCCAGACAGCTCTCCGGCTCCGTCCGCCCGTCCTCCCTGCGCATCGCGACCTCCGCTACATACCTCACAGCCCGTCGCACACCCAGCAGCCGGCGATGCGAATCCACCCAGGCAGCCCCTGCTGCTGCCACCAACCCCAAGATCTCCCAGATTGTCGACCAGATCAGCACATTGACTCTGCTCGAGACTGCCGATCTGGTGTCTAGCTTGAAGGTGTGTTTGACAATCTACACATAACCGATGGATTTCCAAACGAGACATGCGAACCCTGCATATATCTCCCTATCTACATCATCACTCTACTCAATTGAGGTATTTGTCTGAAATATGCTAATCAAAAACTTTGGTACAGACCCGCCTGAACATCCCCGACCTTCCCGTTGGCGGCTTCGCCATGGCCGCTGGTGGTGCTGCCCCCGGTGCGGCCGCTGCCGTTGAGGAGGAGGAGGCTGCTCCCGCTGCTGCTGAGAAGACGCTGTTCAACCTGAAGCTCGAGTCATTCGAGCCTACCTCCAAGCCCAAGGTCATCAAGGAGATCAAGACCATGCTCGGTCTGTCGCTGGTGGACAGCAAGAAGTTCGTCGAGTCCGCGCCCAAGATTCTGAAGGAGTCTGTGCCCAAGGAGGAGGCAGAGAAGCTCATCGAGACGTTCAAGGCTCTCGGTGCCAAGGCGACTATGGAGTAAAACAGCTGTGTTATTATTTAGGCACGGGGAGGGGATAGATTGGGAAGAGAGTCGGGGAAGATGTTGTTGCTCTGGGTCTTTCCCTCTCTTTTTCTCTCTTTGGGTTCTTGCTTTTGAGAGATCTTGTTGAGCATTTATTGTGTTTGGCCTGGCAGATCAAGGCAAAATGTACATTATACGCATTGTGTTCTGAGACCGTCTGGTACAGAGGGCTCGTTTGGTTAATTGATGCATTTAGCATATCGATGCTATTCTATTACTTTTAAAACTCGTAAATATCTTTGAATACTAGTTTTGGTGTATCAAATTGGTAGATCTAAATATCGGAGTAGCTTCGCCGTGAAGTTCCCGATCTCCAGAACTTCAACCAGAAAAAACCTCCCCTCACCTACTACCTCCACCATTTGCCCTCCGCACTCTTTTTCATGGCGAAACCATTGATTTCGCCGTTACAATGGCGTCAATTAAATCAAGCCCTCTGTCCGACAGCCCACACCTTGCGTCACCACCGCGCGCAAGCTTGCACCGCTCGAGCTGTCACTAATAGCAACACAACTACCTCGAAAAGATCCTTCCACACCACTCAAACTCGATCAGCTATCAGGCCTTCTCGCAAAGCACCATCTGTCCGAAAAGAAGCGAGGGAGGGGGTACCCCGGAATGTGTTGGTAGCCCGGGGCGGAGTGAAACTAGACCGTGATGGGTTCTGGAATAGTTATTGTACTGCGCATGTTGAACCAACGCTGGCTGAGTTTAAGCAATTCACACGCCAACTTTATGAGACTTATCAGAACCTCATACCGCCGGGTGTCAACATGGCGACGTTCGCGTCTGTGGGTGAACAGTTGATCAGGCTATCGCACTCGCAGCTCCCTTCCGCAAGTCTGGTTCGGAGTATCTCAATAGGTGAGTTTCAGATTCAAATTACTATATAGTGTGAAAGGCTATGCATTGGATATCTTGATACTAACGATACACATTGTTATAGATGTCGACGCCGTTTATCGAATCGCGCTCATTCTTGCGGATCTTCAAAAAGGCCAGTACGTTTATCAATGGGCATTGACCAGCTGTGCGAAAGCGAATTCGCGTCGAGCCCTTGTCGAACTCGTGAACCGGTATATCAGTACGGAAGGTGTGGACATTTATCAGAATACCGAGTGCATAGCGAAAGTCAAAGACCTGGCTCTCAAAGATGAATTCCCTCATGCGATTATGCTATATGCCAAACTGCTCATCTGGCGCGGTGAGAACGCAGAAGCCGCCCGGCTTCTAGAGCAGAAGATTCTACCATATCTGCAACCCACTCCCAAATACCCTTCCCTGTGGGAGGATATAAAGATGTTGAACAACTTTGATTCACCCTGGCGGATGTACGCCGTTGCTGTTGAGAAGGAAGAAGGTCTGGCGGGAATCCAGAGGGCCACGCGCAGGGCCGCCCTGGAATTCCACGACCCAGTGGCCATGACCGACTATGCCATCTCGGTGTTGGAAACGGATACCACCAATAAATACGAGGTGTATGAGTCGTACATGGCCGCCGCTGCGTTGGCGGGACATACTCCAGCCTGCTTTCACCTTGCCAATTTCTATTACCGCACCTCTCAAGGCGAATTTACCACCGAAGCAGAGAGAAACGCCAAGGCGAGGGAAGAGGCCAATGCCGCGCGCAGCGCCTTGTTGAGACGATTTGAACCTATAGCAAATTGGGTTTATACATTGTTCAACCAACCAATGGAGCACGAAACATACCGCATGCTCGCGATGGACTGGTACGAGCTTGCTTTTGATAAGGGGAACAGTGAGGCTGGGTATATCCTGGCTATGCTCTTCCGCGAGGATGGCAATATGGAAAAGAGCCGTGAGGTGTACAAGCTTACTGCTGAAAAGGGGCTTCCTACCTCATTGTCCAAGAAGAGCCTGGTAGAGATGAGAGATAAGTGGGAAGACCAGACCTTCAACCCTGGTCTACCTCCTAAGCTCTTGAGGCTTGCTTAGATGGCCTAGAGATATTGTGTTTATATATCTTCTGTATATTCTTTTTTGCTTATATCCCACTATGTACCATAGCAATGTTTTTTTTTTGGGCCATGATTGATACCTTTTCTTCTATATATCCCCCGCTCCCAAGCATTCATGTCTCATGTCGCTTATTCCATGTTTGGATTGACAAAAAGAGAAAGCAAAAACAAATCAGAACCGTCGTTATGATTGAAAAAAAAAAGAATCAAACGCCATCCCATCGCTGTTTCATCCCCGAATCCAAATCTCCCTTTCCTCATGCCAACCCGACACAAAGCCATTCACAGACTCCAAACCAACATGTTATTTGAGCATGATAGTATCAACACAACAAAAGAAAAGAAAAAGAACCTCCCCCCAAAATGACAAGAATCCCCAACCGATCACCGCCTTTTCTTCCCCTTCTCCTTCCCATGCCCTCTCGTCTTCAACTCCACAAACCCAAGCTCCTTCAACCCCTCCGCAAGAATGGACGAATCCCTCATCCCAGGAAAATCTTTCGCAGGATACACACGGAATGGGTTAGACCACGCCTCCGCAAGAATCGGCATCGACTGCCCCGTATCCTCAACAGAACCCCAATTCATCAACCGGAACTGGAGCCTGTAAAGCCCCGCCGAGCGAATCGAAAGATCTGCAAAAATGAAAAAGGTCGCTGGTTGGTGAAGACGCGAGGCGGCGTGGTTGTAGGCGTTGTGGAGGGGGCTGTCGAGATGAGAATCGGTTATGGAGGATGGGTGTGCGGGTGCAGAGTTGGGGTCTGGGTCTTCGTCGACGTAGAAGGGGGACATGAAGGCTTTGCCGGATAGTAATGGGGTTGAGAAGTTGTCATCTGTGCGGGCGATGCCGTCTGTTTCCCGTTCTCTTTCTCGTTCTCGTTCTCTATCGTGGTCCCGGTCTTGGTCCCGGTCGTGATCGCGCTCGCGCGAATGTGTTTCTGTTGGCTCGGCCCATGGTAGAGAAGGCGAGACGGGGAATAGTAGACAGCCCACTGTGAAGCGGGGGTCTTGGAGGAGATCCCGGTCATCTTGGGAGTTGGAGTCGAAGTCGGTAATGAGGATCTGCACAATTGGGGGAGGGTCGACTGGGCGGCGGTCTCTGTCGCCTGCGCCGCAGGCTCGTGCTGCGATGGGCTGCTGTCGGATGTGGAGATGGTATCGGGATTGGGTAGATGGTCGTCTGGGTGGTGGAGGAGGTGATGGTGATTGTGGCTCTGGTGAATGGTGAAGGAGCTTGTCGAAGCCGTGTGGCATTCTGTAATTCGCATTTCGGGATTGTGGTTTCGAGTCTTGGTGGGTGGTGGCTGAGATAGGATTGAATGGGTAGGTGGCAGCGCTTTTGTCTGACCAGACGGGGCTGGGCATGGCCGTGGAAGAACTGCTGTGCCTATATGGATTTCGTGGTCAGAATGTGGTTCTTGTTCGAATGTCTCTCCGCGTTGTGTAACCTGTCACAGATGTGACATGGGAAGGGGCGATTGTGTTTGAAATCTCAAAACCAAAGACATCGCATCAGGACGGACCACTGACAGATAGAAGTGGTTCAATCGACAGAAACGAAAAGAGAGGGACTTTACTGGGAATCCACGTCGTATGTCCAGCTCCGGTGACTATCATAGTCACGGGCATGGCTCGAAGTTGGGTATGTTCTCTCTTCATATGGGTTGTAATAACCGCGGGCATCAGAGCTTCCCGGGGGTTGCTGATATGTTCGCAGAGGGAGCGCTTGTGGCGTAGGTTGTGTGTTCATGTAGGCATTGTCGGACGAGAGCATATATCGTGGATCTGCACTTCTCTCGGGAACAACCAAGGCAGGAAGCCTTGGACCAATGGGTGGCGCCCCGAGTATAGGGCGTTCATAGCTCGTGCTCTGTATGATCTGTCGAGGTTCATGTCGGTACGGATAGGACATGGGTATCGAGCCGCGGTGTTGAGTGCGGGGGACCGAATCGATGTATGGCCGTTCCGGTGTGGAATTCCCACATTGCTGTGGCGGTGGCCTCGACATCTATTGGGGACGCAAGTGCCAACAGGTGGTCCTTGTATTATAGTTTAGATATTGCCGTATTCGGGTTTGTTTCAGATGAGGCATTGAAATATAACCCACGAAACGGTCAGATAATCAAAATGAGAAAAGAGTCAATGTCCCAGGCAAAATTATGTATGTTGGGAGTGGAAAAGAGAAAAAAGCACATCAAAAATGCATATTCGGTCAATGGAGGCATCTGATAAACGGCATGTGAATGCAGCTGGTTAACAGTAGCTGATTAACAGCAAGGCCTCATGACACGGTTTTGGTATGGTTCTTTTTTTTTTTTTTTTTCTTCGCTGGCGCTGTGAGATTGGATCTATACTTCCCTGGGGGGGATTTGTTGGCCACCGATTTTCCTCAGGAACCGGGAAAAAGAACGTCCACAAGCAAAATTTAAAACACCCCTGTCCGGTTTCCCCGGGCTATCCAATCACCCGAGGGCTGGAATATGACAGGGACCCAGTGGGAATGGCACCAACAGGATGGATACTCCGTCCTTTTCCTCGGGGTTTAGTCGAAACACATCTTGGATTGATGATTGATGCCCTACGATTGGTGCTGTATCCACCGATGATGAGAAAGGGAAGAGCCGGGGGGAACGGGCCGAGCGGGTTTTGCCACGAGAAGGGGAGACCAGTACTAAGTGGGCGTCTGTGGACATGGGTGTGTGGGCTGTGCCTCCATGGGAATGGTGCGTGGAGTTGGATGAACTAGGGACTTGTTCCCTGAACCTGACAGAAACTGGCGGGGATCTCTAATCTCTCGAAAGACGGTCAGACAATTGAATATGAGTGGAAGTTGTTCTGCATTGTGGAACTCGCGTGTCTTCCGTACAACTGGGAAGGTTTTCCTGGGAATCGGGTGCTTCGAAGTATCTCGTGTTGTCAGTGTACAGTCATGTTGCATGAGTATTTGCACCCCAGTACTTCCGTCACTTCACCGCTATTCTATACCGCCTACCTATTCCTACTAGTATACTACGCGACTACGCGCAGCGCGCAGTATACTAGTATTATACAGGCTATTACCCCCTCTTCTTCCTATTTTTTTTACCTTTCTAACTCTTTCTCTATACTCTACTACTATGGCCCGTGGCCCAGAGCTTCCACCGCACGTTCGCGAGCGTATATGTGAGCTAAAACGCTCAGCAAAATGGGGTGCTAAACGTATTCAAAAGCACGCGTACCCTCATATCCCTCTTTCAACTATTCATTACACCTTACGCCAGGAAACAAAGCGCTCCCATGGTATCTCAATGCCTCGCCTTGGTGGTCCAAGGAAGCTTACTGAAGAGGACCGAGATCGTGTGTATGATGCTATTCAGTCCCGTCCTGATATTACGCGTGAGGATCTACTTGCTGAGGTCGATTATAAGGTTAAAGCGCACTCAATCTGGCGTTTAACCCACGAAATGGGCCTTCGAAAATGGCGGAAGATGAATCGACCCTATCTTACGCCTATTCACGCTGCAAAACGTCTTAATTGGGCCCTTACCTATCGCCACTTTACACCTGAGGACTGGAAAAGGGTCTTTTGGTCGGATGAGACTACAGTTGAACGTGGACAAGGTGCTCGGAAGGAGTGGACTTTTATTCCTCCTAAAGATCAGCTTCAAAATCGGAATTCCGGTATTCAAATGACTAGACTTCGGCACAACCCACTCTAACCCGGACCCAACCCAACCCAACCCAACCCAAAATGGGTTTTGGGTCCATTGCTTCGACCCAACGATGGGTTTTGGGTTATAGCTCATAACCCAAAACCCATTGGGTAACCCATTGGGGCCCCAATATAGTGTAAACCAGACAAACAGACTTCTAGCGTGTAACTGCATAATTAATGCATTTTTTGCTTGTAATATTGAGTATTTTACTTACAGCGCTCTTCTAGAAAAAATGAAGAATAAATCAAATAATTGAACCAGTATGTATTTCTCTAGTATTGCTCAAAATCCTCATCTGCCCTACTCTTACGCTTCCTCCCTGAGGCCCGTCTCTGAGTTGCAGTCTCTGGTAACTCTGGCTCTGTCACCTCTATATCTATATCTATTAAATGAGGAGATGTCTCTCGCAGTCTATTATCTACTCCTTCTTCCTCTTCATTATCACTAATTAGGTCAAGCTTAGCATCCTCTATATATTTATCGTTCTGCTCCTTCGCTGACTCAATCTCAGCTAGTATAAAGAACTGCTCAAGCTGCTTTGCCTCAGCATCCTTAATATTGAATCTTGTTGCACATAGAAATAACATAAGCTCCTCGATTGTTTCGGACTTAAGACGACCACGGCGGTAGTGACAAACATCCCGAGCAGTATTGAAGAGCCGTTCGACACCAGCACCAGTTGCTGGGATAGAGAGAATATCACGAGCAAGTAACGCAATCGCAGGGAAACGAGATTGGTTCTCCCGCCAGAATTGAAGAGGTTCAATATCAATCAGATCTAGTAGTATAAATATATTAGTATTATCCTGTATAGGGAAGAAATAGATCATGAACATACCACTATCGAGATATTGAGTCATCTTATCACCAGCTGGTTTTGCGGATATCTTGTTACTCTTTAGCATCATGTTCAGCCTAGAACTAGATGATGCTATTGTTGGAGTATTAGTCGATCCTTGATTTATTGTAAGGCGCTCTTGATACGGAATCAATAATTCCTGGAATGATTTCCGGTAGGTATCACGCCAGTGAGGCTCCCAATTATCAGATAGAAAGAACTGAAATCTGCTGTCAGGTGCCAGCATTATCCCAACTGTATAGATATGTCCTTTGAGATTGTCGGTTTGAGAGTAGTACTTATCAAGTTTCAAGCGACCAGCTATGAGTGCTTTAAGCATGTCTGATTTCTATGGAACACGCTTGCGTTTCAGCAGCGCCTCTGCTTCAAAAAAGTGATTAAAGAGGGCATTGTAAATCTTAAAGACAAGATGTGTGGTGACCTCCTTTGTCTTCGAGAGCTCTGTTGTGTAGTCAAAGAATGGCCGAGTGATTTGTAGAAGATAGTCAATTTGACGCCATTCTTGAGTATCAAGCAACATCTCCTCACAGTCATACTCCTCACAGAAGGGCTGGAAGAAACTACGTAGTCTCTTTACACGACGAAGCATTAAGAAGGTAGAATTTCACCGAGTCCTCACGTCCTGGATTGGAATAAGCTGGGATCCCTTTTCTTGAAGTCGGAGAAAGGCCGCCTGGCGTTGCGGACTTGCATGGATATATACAGCAAGATAACGGACCTTATTTAAGGTGTATGAGATCCTCCGTGTCTGGTGCTGAGTATTTGCCTTTGCTGTAGATGACTTCTGGTCAGTCCACTTTGTTTCTGCATTCTCATTTAGAGGGATGGCCTTTAAACGATCAAGGAGCTGGTTCAAACAAAGCTGGATAATATGGGCAAGACAGGGTGTTCGGATTACTGTCACATCGCTAGAGAGCGCCTGCTGAATAGCCTCAACTATTGTCTTGTTGTTGGTTGCATTATCAGTTGTGACTCCAAATACCCGATCCTAGATCTTGTACTCAACTAGAGTTTCAAGGAGTATACCACTTAGATTTAAACCGGTATGGGAGCCATAAAGTGGTTTAAATCCAAGAAGAACCTCTTGGTATACCCAGTTACTGTCAACAAAATAGCCAGTGATAGCTATGAACGCCTGGTTATATGGAGAAGTCCAGCAATCTAATGCGCGATCGAGATTTTTGCGTCGTTAGGTAGTGTTTGGAGGATAGATTTCTGTCGTTCTATGATTATATCACGTAAACGACGACGTATTGTGGTAGCAGAGGGTATCAGAGGGAGAGATAGTGCAGAGCGCGCTAATCGGAATAGCTTGTGGAATGTTGGATGTTCGATGAGGTGGAATGGAAGTCGATTGAGGGTGAGAAATTGGAGAAGATGCTCTTCCCATACCGATTGTGAAAAAGGAGCCTCTGGTAAGCCGTGATCCTATATATCCAGGAGTGTTAGGGAAATCAGATAGCTAAATAAAGAGGTAAGGAGATACTACTTTTTGAAGGAACTGGGTAATTTCTCCTTTCCCTCCCTGTTGAGCTTTGCGACAGCCTGCTGTCTTTAAATGCTTCAACATTGTTGAGGTACTATGATAGCCCTTTCCGCTAGGTAATAGAGAATGAGGATGCTCTAGGATCTTTGAGCAGCGCTTACACATCACCTTTGGCGCACTATCTTTGGTATAGGCAACTTGGTCGAAGTTGCTCTATATATTTGAATTGCGATTTGAATCCCAGGAAATCTTGCTTTTCTGCCCATAGTCGGTTTATAGCCACCACTCAACCCATTCTTTATATGCCATATTGTCATAAAGCATATATGCCTTTCTCCGATCGGGGCTAACGCGAGTAAGAGAGTGTGGAATTGGTAGAAGGTTGGAGGGCCGAAGGAAGTCAGTATTAATAGCATTAAAAGGCTCAATTGTGAGCTGGCTACCAGATGGGGTTGGAACTCGAGAAGAGGGTATGAGATAGCTAAGGTTATCTGTATCCGCATCGTAAAGAGTAGGTAAAAAGTCAGAATGCTGGCTTTGGGACATTGCGACCGAAAAGGGGAATACTATAGAAGTAAGGGGGAAAGGCAGAGAGAGTATATACTTACAAGAGAAGGGTATATGAACGGTAAACACTTTAGTCCTATAGTAAAGTAGATAGATCAAAAGGTATAAGCTATAATGTTATTTGATTGGCTATATAAGCTCTATTTAAATGGGTCTAACCCAAGAGAACCCAACAGGACCCAACAGAACCCATCAAAACCCAAGAGAACCCATTCATAACCCATCAAAACCCAAGAGAACCCATTCATAACCTATCAAAACCCAAGAGAACCCATTTATAACCCATCGAAACCCAAGAGAACCCATTTATAACCCATTGAAACCCAAGAAGACCCATTCATAACCCACTCCCCCAGAAGATCCCTCAAAAATGTTTCATTTACCCTCCCAGAAGAGCTTTTCTAACCGCGGTCAGAGATAATAATATATACACCTACACCCCCCTAGAAGGGCTTTTCTGACCGCGGTCAGAGATAATAATATGTATATCTACCCCCCCAGAAGGGCTTTTCTGACCGCGGTCAGAAATAATGACATATACACCTACCTCCCAGAAGTGATTTTCTGACCGCGGTCAGAAATAATAACATATACACCTGCCTCCCAGAAGTGATTTTCCGACCGCGGTCAGAAAATATAAGAGAAGAGAAATATAGCTTTAATATAATATCAATTGTATATAAAATCAAATAAGAATAAGATATTTCTATTTACATTCATAGTTACCCTATAATATATATATACTCCCCTCTACCACAAATATATATTTTCAATAGTCCACAGTCAACAAATACTTAAATTAATAGAACACCACTATACTACGATTAATGTGAATTTTTATCAGTAATCAATATAATACAAAGCCTATTAGCTTCAAATTCAGGGTAATTACATAAATTTTCCAACTTAATATTGTGATAATATAGCAATATTTGATGAACAAACCAGAACAGCTGTAAAAAACAGTAATTTATTTGAATGACTTAGCATTGTTATGAACGCCAAGACCTGTCTTTTATGCAAAAATGGGTTCAAATGGGTTATTATTGGGTTATTGGGTTTAACCCATTGGGTTTTGGGTTGGGTTGGGTTATAGAGGGCGGGACCCAAAACCCAATGGGTTGGGTTTTGGGTCAGAGGTTCCGACCCAAAATGGGTTCTGCCGAAGTCTACAAATGACACTCTCGAAAGGGAAGCAGTCAAAACAGATGTTTTGGGCCTGTTTCTCAGGTGCTCCACGGAAAACTGGCCTTATTCCTCTATACGGAGATCCAAATGCAGAGCGGAAGGGTATTACAAAAGAGGTTATTTATAGTCTCTACCGTGGTATCCTTCCTACCTTACTTGCAAATGAAGATGCTATCTTCCAACATGATAACGCACCTACACACACTGCGTATATAGTTCAAGAACTACTACGCGAGATAGGTGTAAATGTTATGGATTGGCCTCCTTATTCACCTGATTTAAACCCGATTGAGAACCTCTGGGCGTTATTAAAGGCAGATATCTTAAGGCTAAGGCCTTGGTTACGAGAGATGCCTAATAATCAGGAGACCTGGGCCGAGCTAGTAGATGCAGCGCAGTATGCATGGGAGAATCTGACAGTGCACCACTTTGTAAATTTAGCAGAGACTATGCCGCACCGGGTGGAAGAGGTTATTAAATACGAAGGTTGGCATACTAGTTACTAGCTAGTTAGTTAGGTGTTTCTAAATGAGAAGTTTTAAACGGCAGAAAATAAGTGGGGCCTAAGCCTTCCGAGGTACTGGGGTGCAAATACTCATGCAACGCCACTGTACATGTCGCCTGTTTCCGACCTATAGGGATAGCGCGAATGGGGCGAGAAAAAAAATAATAAAAAATAGGAGAAAGTAACAAAGTCCTTGGAATTGTGCCTTTTTGCGAACCGGTCTACGGAGTTGCAGTGGGCCACAAATTGGACTATATGGGGACTATCGTGTCTTAGCCTGTCGAAAATGTGTAAATAGTACTCCGTACTCCATACACCGAATGAAGTACGGAGTACGGTGTAATGGGTCTTTCGAAGGAGAAAACTCAGATCTCCGCTTTATAGAGTACAGAAGCGCAAATTTGCCGGATGCTGACCGACAAGCCTTTGGAGCAGTTGGTATCGACCCGGTTTTCAAATCCCAAGTGGCTGGAGCTGGAAGCTGCCGTGAGGCGCGGTGATTGGCGTTCAACCGTTACTTGGCAATCCTTTGGAGAAGGATCTGCCCCCTCCCCCCCACAATGGAGAATCTGGAACCTATGTTCACTGGGACTCACAGTGATAATGGGCTTGATAGGTATACGATGTACGCAGTAATCCCGGGGAATAGTTTTTGTAGCAAGTGGTAAGCTTTTCGGTGTGAAATCCAGAAGCATAGAATCCGCCAAGTTCGTCAGATAGGTTTCCTGGAATTCAAAGTCAATTAACATTCTCGGATAACGCTCTTACCATTGTGCCCGCTCGTGGGTCTCCTAGTGGGCTTTGCTAATGCCAATTGGGGATGGGACAATGATCGTTTGCTGTCAGATCGATCCGCAAGGCAGCTGCAATTTGGCGAAGGCGAACGAACTAAGGTTAGATAGACTGTGTTCAAATGGGTCCAAGCGCTAGAGGATTGCCAATCTATTGTCGCTAAGAATAATGAATTCGGGAATTGTGCCTACATCATATGTGGCGCTTTGCCAATGCCGTGGGCCATTTTTGAAGATTTTGCAGCCCAATGTTGGAAGAATTCGTCCAACGGAATTGGAATTCTTCGAGCAATTGCAGGAGTTTGTCAAGGGTGACCCATTTGAGCTCTAAACATCGGCAGATGTAGGAACTCAGGCCCCGTGAGCTTCCACATCAGTTCTCATGCGCCGATTTTTATAGATGCAGATCACAATGACCTCACTGCAATGATTGCTTGGTGGATGAGAATTGAATGAATGTCCTATGATGTAGGGCGGGAACCCACACGAGTCAAATTTTTCTTGCTATGCACCCCCCCGTAGAAGTGTGGCTGCGTTGGCTGTTCGTTGTAGTTCTTCGGTACAATAACATGACTGCCTCCTTGAGAGCCTTGCAGATCTGCAGGAGTGCAATAATCCAGGTCTCCATGTGCCCATCGCCACACAGTTAGCCAGAATAGGAAGAGATATTCCGACAAGATTCATAGCAAGCCACATCCAAGAATTCAAAGGGTTCGATATCAAATGGGTGGCGTTCCCCCACCAAAACCGACGATCCTGATGTCGAAAATGGCGTGGGTGGCTTGATTCCCTGGGAAAATCCATCTCAGTGCATATCACTGGTAAACTGATCACAACTCCCAGGACACCGAGACAAACCGAGCTTGGATCATGATCCTGATCATATCTACCAGGACACCGAGACAAACCGAGCTTGGATCATGATCCTGATCATATCTACCAGGACACCGAGACAAACCGAGCTTGGATCATGATCCTAGTCGATTGCCGATCAAAAATGGTTAATTGGCAGGGGTATATTCAAGGATACGAAGATCTCCGCGGGATTCTAGACGAAGAAATAGAAGATAGTAAAGTTTTTATTTATTAAAAATATGAGTGTGATATTGGAGATGGAAGAGTAGCTGAAAAGAACATGACCGGCGACTACAATGTGGTACATCTTGATTCTGCCGATGCACACATCACCGCTCAGTTATATCAACAATCCTACCTGGGCATCATATTCATCTGTTCAGGTCAAGTGACGTTTTCATAATTTCATGATTTCGTGGAAAATTCAATATTTCACATGCAGAGAAACACTTAATACTCTAGATCTGCACTTGGATCTATATCCAGATAGTAAGGTCCCCAGCAATTTCGAAAACGAGTGCGTGTGCCACTTGGATAAAATGTTCGCTCAGGATTGGCTGAGAGCGTGAGATGCATCAATGCACCAAGAGGGCCATCTGAAGGTGCTGGTCCACTGTCAATGACCCCGGTATTCTGCCCAACGTAAAGCCCGAGGAGTTCCCCATAATGACGGTCCCAAACCACGATGTAGCCTGATGGCTGCCATGGTTCATCTGGTCCATACCGCATATCCATACAGCCGACTTGCATCAAATGTAAGTTGTCGACCCCCATTTGAGGAACTCCATGAATGATCAAACGGGCCCGAATAAGGCCTAGGGTAGATGGGGTCATAGGCTTAGAGGAATCATGCAGCGCCGGAATTTGGGAGTTGGAAAATTCGATCGGGGAGTGTTCTGGTACCCATCGGAATTCAAGTGATGCAAATTTGGAGTGGAATTCATTAAGTCGTCCCGCGTTGTAGTCAAGATGAGTGACTATCTTTTGGGATTGTCCATCGTGGTCATTCAACAGATCTACAATCCTCCCCAGTGTAGCCGGAGACTTGGAGCAGCCATGAACATAGAGTTCTGCATACAACTGTCCTCCATTATTAGATTCAACGGATTTGTTATTAATTTTGGGCAAACGTTGATCATCGAATGCTTCCCAGATTGTTTCTGAGGGATCCAAGGCCGTACTGAAATGGCTTCGACTACCAGGGCTCCATTGAACACCCATCCTTCGATCCATGTCTTCAAGGCAAAACACAAGTAGTTTGAGGTAGTCCTTCCCCCTCACTAGGTCAGGTAATGCCTCGCCCACAATAGGATCATCAAGGAGGAATCGAATATGCGGGAACTTGGCAATGAATGGCAAGTTATCGCCACAATGTTGAGAGATATCTTCCAACCATTTTGCTGCTGTTTCTGACTGAAAATTTTGGACTAGAGCTAGCACTACCTGATAGGCAGCGATGCAGCTTTGATGGTCTTTAGGCTGAATATTATTTAAAAAATGAGACCAGCATCTGTGCAGCACTTTGTCGCTCCCAAGCCTAGCAAGTAGGCAGATATACTCCTGGGCCTTGGTTGTAGAATCGAATCGGTTGCCAATTCGACGAGTCGACTGCGTCCAGAACAATGTATCATGTAAATTGGGAATTTGTGTCTCGAGTTCTCCTTCGCCTGTAATCTCAGCAAGGATGGGATTGGAATCATAGTACGGGTCCTCAAAAAATTTGCGGTCAAGTGCCTCAGAGCAATATCGGACTACCCGCAAACTGTCGTTGAGACTTAGGGCTGGAAGGCCCATCTGGTGGTGCCCATCCAAGCAGTGCCTGATATCTGAAGCCGAAAGATCAAAAGATGCGAAGTATAACGCTATAGTGTACATCACAGGTTGGATAGGAAGCTGGAGACGCTTCAGTCTTGCAAACAAGTCACGTAGCACAGATAGGATTTCTGCTAGTGTGTTTTTCCGTTGACAGCATCGCAAAGCGTGATGTAATGGCTCACAATTAGAACTCTGCAAGATCTCTGCTCCACGCCTGTCGTTGACATATCTCTCAATTAGACTCCCCAGGGAAGAGACATCGGCAATGTCGTTATTGGCATCCCACAGCAACTCTCGGTTTCGCGATGTAGCCCCTTTGAGAGAAGTCCACAGCGGCAGAGGTAGAGCGTTGGGCTTCCATTCAGTGACAAAAAGTCCACGAAGGTGCTCAGATATGACCTCGTTAGTATTCGATTCATGAATTGGCTCAGTTGAATCTGTTAGCGCGAATCGAAGCAGTTCAGATGGTGATGGGTCATGGATTTGTTTGATTGTTGTAGGATAGATACTGCACACTGATTGACGTGAAAATACATTTGCAGTGCTCAGCTTTCGCCTTGATTGCAGCAGCAAGCGAGTGTGCAACCCTCTCATGTTGACTAAAGTAAAGCTGATCTGAGATGTGGAGAACCTCGAAGATAAAGACGGGCCGATAAGGGGGTTAAGTCTGGGGTTTGACTGGCAGATCAAGGGCGGTGTGAGAGGCGGTATTGGACCACATTCGCGCTTTTATTTCGTCTTCAACCAGCTTCCATTTATTATCAACCTAGCTGCCAACAAAACAACCACCGCTTTCTATCCATAGCTGCTGTTGATCTACCGATCAACCCGAGGAAATTATGGTTCAAACCAGAAACGCGGATAAATCCGCCAAGGACGAAGCGAGCCAAGAACAGTCCATTGAGCAACCGACCGAGAACACGAGCGATTCGCCTGTCACAACTTCTGAAAACAAGGAAGAATCTCAACCAAAAGACACAAAGGATGACGTTGCATCCAAAACGCGCGAACGAATGAATAAGTTCAAATCCCTGCAGGCTCGAGCGGTAAGTGGCCCTCAAAAATGAACTGCGCGGATCAATAGGATTGGCCAATCTAACATCTCTCACATAACTGACTCAACCTATAGAAATCTGCAACGGAGCGCAACCTAAAAGAGACTGCGGCTGAGTCCCAGCGTCTGACTACGGACCCGGCTCTGCTAAATACATTGTCCCGCAAGCATGCATTCGCCTCCCACAACCTCCTCAAAGCAGACACGGAAGCTAGCGGAGAGGATTTTGAACGCAAGCGTGCATGGGACTGGACAGTCGACGAATCCGAGAAGTGGGATAGGCGCATGGAGAAGAAGCAACGCCACCGAGATGACGTGGCTTTCCAAGACTACACTCAAGATGCCCGGAAGATTTACAAGAGACAATTGAGGGAAATGGCGCCGAATTTGGAGTCCTACCAAAAGGACAAGCTTGCTGCGATCGAAAGAGCTGCGGCTAACGGCGATCTCGAGATTGTGGAGACAGAGGATGGTGAAATGATTGCAATCGATAAGAACGGTAGCTTCTACTCCACTGCGGATTCGACTGGATTTACGGAAAGCAAACCAGATCGGGCTGCTGTTGACAGACTGGTCAACGATATCCAGAAGGCAGAGGAGGTGCGCCTGAAGAAACGCAAGGAGCGCCGTGGTGGTGATGATGACGCGGATGTGACATACATCAACGAGAAGAACAGGCAGTTCAACCAGAAACTCGCTCGCTTCTACAACAAGGTCAGTGTTTCCTTGCCCTGTTTTTGTGTGAATAGTATCCCTAACATTTTCTTAGTACACAACCGAAATTCGGGACAGCTTCGAACGTGGCACCATGATCTAATTTTCATGTGAAATTGATTGCGATATTTTACATGAGTGGAACTTCCGAGCTATACAGCTGTACTTGGACAAGGCATCAATCAACAAGCAGGGATTCCGCACATTTCCCCCTCTGCCCCAAAAAAAACATTGTTTTACAAACATACACGTCCTTGATCAGCCAGCATATCTAAAGCATCGTCTTTCGCCAGGCTTTTGTTGCAAGTGCCTCAATCTGTTTCGTTCCGACTGCACCCTTGATGGACTCATCCTCCAATGCCTCGACCACCGCTTCGCTCACGATATCGGCTTTGAGGGGCTTTTCGGCCATAGTCCCGAGGAACCCAAGCTTATTCCCGAGGAACGTGTTGAACTCTGAGGCAATAAAGCCACCCATTGCAATTGGCAGCGTGAACTTCCGACTCGAGTCGTACATGAAGCCCGGGCACATGAAGACGCTTCGTAGGTCCGGAAGGTTGGATGTGATAGTTGCCTCTGCTTCTCTTTTAGTACTGATGTACCTGGCCGGTAGAATCGGTGCCCCGGCCGCCGCAGAGATGTAAACGAAGGTCGGAACATGTTCATTGACGGACTCTTTGGCTAGTGCAATTGCTAAATCACACATGTCAGCTTTCGAAACAGACTTTAGAACTCTTGTACACACCAGAATCTCGATTCATCAGCTCATAGGTCAGCTGTTTATCTTTCTCCTTTGGCTCTAAAGCCTCGCCTTCCTGTCTCGTTAAAGGGTTCTGGCTTCCAAGCTTAGATGTACTAAAAGCTCGTTGAAGGCCGCTAATAATTGGTTCCTTCCCTTGCACAACGCCTTTGTAGTCGGCTTCCAAGAGAATGCCCATTGAGTGGACAACAGCAGAGGCACCATGCAAATGTGGCTTGTAGCTCTCTGGCTTGAGGATATCGGCCTTGGCCCATTCCACGGAGCCTGCCCAGCTGGGCCGTTCTCGAGAATCGGTGACTGTGTCCCATCGAGGCTCACCAGATCGACTAGACAATGATCAGCATTCCCCTCTTCCATATATCCATACTTAGGCGGGAAGGCTACCTTAATGATATAACGGTCCATCCCCTTGCTGTTGCGGCTTTACAGATCCTGGATCCTGGAACAGCTAGTCAGTAAAATCGTATTTCTATTCTGCCTTGGATGGGCATCACAAACCCAAAAAACCACTTCCTCCAGCGACGACTAGTCTTTTGGTCGGCATGTTGTAGCTTTGAGATAGCTCCGGAGAATGATATCACTAAAGAATCGGAATAGTAGGCCCGGGTATTTAGGCTAGCAATTGATACCTCAAGCTGAGCTGAGAATGTCAATATCAAGCTCTCCAATAAGCAAAACAATGAAATAAATCAAGGTAATTGTTTCTTGACTAGAACTTTGAAGTTGCGTTCGGCATCATTCGCCTTCTTGTCGGGCCACTTTGAGCCACGACGGATTATCCTTTTTCCCGCGACTTTCTTGCGCCCTTGTTCTGGACAATCCATTCCCATCTGGTTCTACAATCTACAATCAACTTACAAGATGGTATCTGCCACAGGGAACAAGCGCGTCAGGGTAAGCTTCAAATCCTGGGAAATACCAAAATCAAACTAACACGCTCGCAGGGTGTCTCGGTGTTCCGGCCATTTGGTATGTCCGCAAAGCGCGCATCATCGCCAACAGTCACAAGCTAACAAACACAGTATTTGGCAGCATAGCGCACCCCTTCGATCCCGAGAATAAGCCCCCAAACTGTCCTCCAGACCACACCCACAGGTGGGAGATATTTGTCAAGGGAGTCAACGGCGAAGATATCTCCTACTGGCTAAAGAAAGTCCAATTCAAACTGCACGAGACATACGCCCATAATGTGCGCTCGATCGAGCAGCCTCCCTTCGAGGTTTCCGAAACTGGTTGGGGTGAATTCGAGATTCAGATCAAGCTGTACTTTGTGGCCGAGTCAAACGAGAAGCCGCAAACCTTGTGGCATAGTCTGAAGCTACACCCTTACGGCCCAGATGCGGAGGGAATGAAAGAACGTCGGGAAACTGTGATCAGCCAGAACTACGAAGAGATCATTTTCAATGAGCCGGTTGAGCCGTTCTACGAGATCCTCACCGGAGGCGCTGCTGGTGGTCAGCCTGGCAAGAGCAAGGGAAAGAATACCAAGCAGATTGGAAATGGCCGGACAGCGGATATTCCGATGAATGATGCGCCCGGGAACCCATACAGTCGGATGACGGAGAGGAAAGAGCTTGATCGCATGGCCGAGGCCACTCAGACCGTTGAGCAAATGATCAAGGAAGAGAAGGAGCGCTTGATTGAGAGGGAGAAGTATCTGGCCCAGCTGCGAGAGAGTGAGGGTGTGCCGGCCAACACGAAGAAGCGGTGATTGATTCACGCTTCTCTTAAGCCAAAGATCACCCAGGCTATTGCCGTGTGGCTGGCTTTTGAGCATCCCGTCAGAATGTGCCTGGCCAACAACCCTCACGACACCGGTCTAAACGTTCCTTAGTGCTAGGACCTTGTCGAGTGCCTCTGCTGCCCCGAACAGTCGAAGCTCGTGTCTTTGCGCTGATAATCGCCTGGCCACAAGATCCAGCCTGTCTGTTTCCACCCAATTCATCCCAACTATTGCATTGTATGCCAGCTACGACCAAAAGAGGCTCGAATATCTGCGTCATCACATGTTTGTGCCTAGGAATCACATGGGGCCCTTTCCTCTTTACTGCGAGGTGGAACATTGCAGACTATGCTTAGGGAATCCTGGGAATGCGCCGGGGATTCCGTTCAAATCATATTCATCCCAAGTTTGCAAGATGCTTAACTCGGGTGTCTGCCACTTACCTGGGAAAGGGAAATCCCACAAGGATACAGTCTTATCGCTGTTGATGTACCTCCAGGTCTCCAGATGTATTACATGCTAGTTCGTGATATGATTCTCTGTTTAGGAAGGTCATTTAAACAATAGCACTGGAGGCAACCAGCCAATCTCAATTTACAATATAAAAAGACAACTATCTATCACAAAATGTTCGTTCAATCATCGCATGTCCATCTGAACACCTAGCACTTGGCATCTTGAACCGTATCTCTGGTCTTTTTCAGGAACGGGATCAAATCCGTACCACCGGTCCCAGCAAGCTTAGTCTTCGCTCCTGCTTCTTTCATTTGAGAGCTGGCCGTGGCTAGATTCATTTTGCCTTTTCCCTGTTCAACTGGATTCGGCTGCCTCGACGCCATGATAATGTATCGAGTGACCATCTGGATATGTGTATCACGGAAAGCCTTGAGCTCATTCACAGCGGCGTTGTATGCATCCTTAAGCGGCTGAACCGGCGAGTCCAGTATAAACGAACGAACATTAGCTCGATCAGATAGCTCCTCAAGGAAGCGTCTATGCGGACCAGGCATGTAGTCTCGCATTTGCTATGTTTGATGTCAATATTTGTTCACACATGTCTAGATATAGACACCGAGGAGCGATATCGCGTGATGTTCTTACCTGAATAAAACTCGGACCACAAGTTTGCTTCCCATCCGTCGCAGAGTGCTTAATACCGAGGAAAATATCAAGTGCTTGAATCAGCGAGCTCTGTGCATTACTCCCACCACTCAACTTGAGCCAATTTTCCGGTCTTTCCACTCCATCACTATCACCAACATCATAATACACACCATTGGGAAGACCAGCATGACCCATATTCTTACTGCCAGCCAGGAATGGCCGAAGCTGGTGGAAGAAGA